TTTTATGGTTGTTTATTAACTGTCAAGGGAAAAGCATAGTTTTCGAACAATTTTACAAGTGTGCTTTTTATTTAAATTATTTTTTATATAAATTTTTTTATTTAAAAATGACATGCAAGAATTCTAGCGTGTCATTTTAGCGTCACAATCCAACATGGTCGCGGCGAGTACCCAGGAGCCTTAACTCATTTTATTCTTAGCAATTTACTTTAGACATCTTTCCAATGGTCACCTTGCATATGTATACTGCAAAATGTCTTTATTAATTTAGTTTTTTCACACATATACTAATTGTTTGAACTTAATATAGAAATTTACTTACTTGCTGTGAAGCCTTTTGACATCATATTCGTGCGTGTACGATTTTATGTACGAATCATCAATATTATCTTGCAGGAATGTCAGCCGGAATTTCTGCACGATCTTGTCTTGAAGATGAAAGCGTACATTTTCACCCCTGGTGATTCGATATGCCGGAAGGGCGAGGTCGCTCGTGAAATGTTCATAATAGCCGACGGTATTCTAGAGGTGATCAGCGAAACTGGCAGAGTCCTCACGACAATGAAGGCCGGTGACTTTTCGGCGAAATTGGTATACTCAATCTGGACGGATTGAATAAGTGAGTAAAATTCTTTAGATTCTTTCTTTCCGACATGTCATCGCTGCGCGATATGTAATGGAATAACATTTTGTCTTGCTACAAGCTGAATATAATGATTACATGTAGTAATAAAAAAGATTTGTACTTTTTGCGAAAAGTTCAACAAGTTTTTTCACAAGTTCAAAGATATTGTTTCTAGAAAAGATGGACGTACTAAAACCAAAGATTCCAATATCGCATTTCTAAAAATACTAAAAAAGTTAATTTTTTCTCGTTGAAGTTTTTTTGGCATTACAGACACATGTACAAGGTGATTCGCGGGTGACAGAATGCTAATGTAATGTTAATGTAAGACGTCTCTGATAGCCTATGGGTGCATATACAAGGTGATTCAAAACAACTTACTGTCCTTAAAATGTCATATTCTTGAGCAAATTTTGAGACAATTTTTCTTTTTACAAAATTTTGTCCGAAGCTTAGTTTTCGAGTCGATTGAAAATACAGCGGGCAGGCAGGGACAGATTCACAATAAAAGGATACTCAAAGATTTCAAAAATCAACGAGGCTTTCAATTTTATATGGTAAATGAGTGATTTACAAAATACATAACATATCAAATACATAATTTCATTAATCGATAAGTTAAGTTGTTAAGTTAAGTAGTTTCGCGTTTGAGGCGAAAAAAATCCAGTTACATAGAACGTTAAATGTTGCGTTGTTTCGTATTCAAAGGATTAAATACAAAATCTCATATATTTTATGACGTCGAAATCTATTAATCTTTGTACTTTCAACAACGTTTTATTTTAATCGCAATGTATGTAGATATATATTTATTCAAGTAAAGGAAGATGAGTAAAAAGAAGCAATTTCTGCCCTTAAAGCGGTTCCTTCAAAATTTACATTCCCTTATGTTTTGATACCCGTTGAACTCATTTCTGAAGATTAAAATCGTCTCACGAGGAAAGTACTTTAACCCTTTTAGGATGAGGTTTTTTCAGAAAAGATTTTACTCGAAATAATGATTTTATTGTACTAAAAATTTGTTTTTGTATGATAAACCTCAAAACAATTAATAATACAGAGCCCGACATTACATTCTTTGCATTTGAAAGTAAATCTTTTGTTCACTATTTTTTTTGTATCAGACGTGGGCCATGATATGTACATATCAAAATGTACAGCTTGAAATCCTGGTTAAAACGATATTTTAATCACTGAAAAAGGTTAATGTCCGTTTTCGATATATTCGAGTTACTAAATATAGTACGTTCGTCCTGAACCGGTTAAATTCATCAATCTTTACGGAATATCAATCTTTGTGATCTTATGTAGAATACGGTTTCGTATTAAATCAGGATAACTTATGTGTAAAAAATAAATACCTCTTGTAAATAAAAAAGAATATTGTCAAACTGCTTATTATTTAAGAAATTGTTTAAATGTTACGAAATAAATCATTACAATGAGGTAAGCTTTTTCGAAGAACCATATTATGGTCATTTATAATAGAAAACTATAAAAAACTTTCAGACGCACAGCCGATGTTCGTTCAGTGGGTTACTCCGAGCTGTTCAGTCTTTCTCGGGAGGATGTGCTGGCGGCAATGAAAGATTATCCAGAGGCGCAAGAGATTCTGCAAAACCTCGGCCGGAAACGACTGATGGAGGCGCAGAGAGTAGCGCGAGCATCGCGTCAGCCCACCTCACCTGGGCACGATTCGTCCGACAACAGTACCGGCAAGAGAATCGTTGATAAGCTGAAAAGTGATGTAAAAGGTCTGAAAAACGTTCTCAGGAAAAGCAGGCGCAACACGCGACCGGAAGAAAGCCTGGAGCTTCAACCGTTGGCGCCGAAAATTCCGACTTTGAAAAGACAGCAGAAAATCGATGAGAGTCCGGATCTGTCTTTGCCCCATAATCAGGAGCCACCAATATCACCGTTAGGCGCTGGCCTTCCATTACTATCGAGACTCAGGCTGCTAAAGGAAAAGGAAGAGAGAGAGGAACGGCGCAACCTAATGGACACACCAAGCCACGTGATAGAGCCACAATTACTGACTTCGGAAACTTTGAATCCAACTAACCCGAATCTACCATTCTTGCAAAGGATACTTCTGTTGAAGGCGAAGAACGAGCAGGAAGCCATTCAAGCGGAGAAGGAAGCACCCACCAAAGAACCTATGTTGACCAAAAACACTATTCCCGAGGAGACGAGCACGCAATCCGACGAACCGCCGTCCTCGGATGGTCAGACTAGTGTTGTAACCCCTGTGACTTCGGAGGCCGAAACAAGAAAAATAAATATAGTCAAGAAGCCTTGGACCACACTGAAAAACGCATCGTTGACTACCAAGGACAATTCGCCGCAGAAAAGCCCGCCAACCAGGAAACTGCAGCAAACCAAAATGTATGCCTCGGTTGACGATCTTTCGCCGGAGTACTGTGGCCTGCCGTTCGTCAAGAAGCTCAAAATTCTCAATGAAAGGCAGAAATTGGCCGAGCTGGAGAAAGCGGTCAGAAGTTCGTCCCTCGATTGCGGTGAGAATGCCGAGTCGGAGTTTGATGGCAACCTTACGAGGAGTCACTCAGAGGCCTGCGCTATCGAGTACGCCAGAAAACTGGCCAAGTACAATCGGGTACGTAATAGATATCTTTATTACGTAATGATTTTTTGTATGTTGTCTATCATCTCTATGTATTGGCATAAAAAAATTAATATTCAAATGTTTATAAAAGTTTAATATTTAATGTTACGTCCTTGCCTGCAGAGAAGAGGTTGGGCCGTAACTGGCGTATCACACAAGTCAGATTTTAAAGAGACTGAACTTGTGCGACGAACAGTTTGTATATTTTTCTGGAAAACAGATTAACGACGGATAGTCGCTCTTATTCCGTTTAACAGATTCCGTTCGATGATTCTTTTTTAGGTTTGAAATAACGATCTCAGACCTAGAACAGAACCCGTGCAATCTTTAAGGATTAACAGGAATGATGAGAGTTTAGATTAAAAATTAGTCGAGATTATAGAAAGAAAATCATTTAATGTTTAAACAGTAAAATTTAATGTTTACAGTCTAATAAGGCTGTTCCAAAATAAAAAAAAAAATTTTATAGTAATTTAGACGGATTAATAACATTCTTATTTCAAGGTGTGCGTGCGTGCGTGCGCCCAAAGTGGAAGGGAAAAATTAAGATATTTCTTCTGAGGTAGTTGTGGATCGAGGAAACATATGTTCAAATTCGGTAACAAGGACGAGGATGGAAAAGAATCGGTATTCTCGATACACCAGGAAATGGGTAAGGCGCGGATTGCTGGATAAGACCTCTCTGGTATGTTCAGGGATTACTGGACCGGCACTTAGAGTAGGATAGTCAGGGGATATCTCACCATGATATTCTGGAAACTGATTAATATAAATTGATCTACCTATTGAAGAGATTTCGGAATATAATTCTTTCGAATCGAGGTCATTTGAGCCGTAAAGAAATGAAGACTCAGTTTCAGGAACAGAGTGGGGGTTGGAAATTTGGATGGGTGAAAGCCGCACTTTGGTTGGATGTTTGCCTAGGAATTCAATTAACGGCGCAGGGAAAGCAGGAGGGAATTGATCAGGAAAGAAATCGGATAAGAGGGGACGAAGAGGAGAACGAGGTTCTGTAAAAGTGGTCGAGGTATTTAGAGGTAGTTCCGAGGGACCCCTAAAATTGAGAGGCGTAATGGCAGTTAAAATTTGGAGAATCGGTCACGGGGCAGTTTGGACTTGTAGGGAAATAGCCGCTAGGTTGGACAGAAAGGAGAGGGGTAGGAGCATCGGATCTGTTATGGATGGTTTCTAAGTTAATAACATTAAAACTAGGGTTATGACTAAGATTATTATTAAGAATACGGTTATAAACATCAATATTAAAAGGGTCGACTCCGTCATTTATGTTAACAAGATTGTTTTAATACTTCTAATGATAATGTTGAAACCGTGTGAGCTTCGGCGGACGCGGATTAGCTCGCCGGAATCCAGGTTCGGTCGGTTGGGGGTATGTCAAAAAACCAAATGCTCGTTTATAACAAAATAATGAAACAGCGTTTATTGAGAAAGATGTTGATTCGATTTGCCTCGAATGATCTGCTACAATGCTCGTGCATACATGTGAAGCGCGTGCGAAGCGAATTCGAAAGAACATATAAGTAGCGTGAGATAAATAGAAAGGATCGGTGCGATCGGTATGGTAACAACGGTGAAATAATTAGTGAAGCAACGGCGAAATGATTCGTTAAAGCGGCGGGAAATAATCGTACAAATATCGGTGAGATTGGTATAAGCAATTATTTAGGCGGGCGGCGAAATAATTATCAAAGCGGCGTAAAATAAATCTGGAGTATCGGCAACGGTGTAACAGTCATTTAAACGGACGGCGAGATACTCATTAAAGCGGCGTAAAATAAATCTGGAGTACCGGCAATGGTGAAACAATCGTTTAAGCAAACGGCGAAATAATTCGGTGAAGCGGCGTGAAATAAATCTGGAGTATCGGTAACGGTGTAACAGTCGTTTAAGAAAACGGCGAAGTAATTCGTTGAAGCGGCGTGAAATAAATCTGAAGAATCGGTAACGGTGTAACAGTTATTTAAACGGACGGCGAGATACTTATTAAAGCGGCGTAAAATAAGTCTGGGGTACCGGCAACAGTAAGACAATTGTTTAAGCAGCGGTGAATTGATCATTAGAGTTTGACGTGAGGCGTCTTGGTGCGATCAGAGAGAGCGCAAGCGCGGGCGATCGGGTCGCAACGGTTGGTACAACGCAACGCTCGTCGATGAGTGCGTTCGTGACGGTATCGCGAGTCCGTTCGATCGTAGATCGTGACGGGTCGCTTGACGGCGCGGATTGGTCGACGCGGTTTGCTCGCTGGATTCTGCGGATGAATCCCTGGTGCGCTGCAACGCGGAATTAGGACCATGACGTCGAGTAAGCTCAACGGGAGTACGAGGATGCTCGTACGAAGGCGGAGTTTAGAACGGCGACCTAGCTAGGTACGCGGAAATGCCCGCAATACGAAGTTCGGTGGCCTAGAGGAGCCAAGTACGCTCAGCGGGTATACGAATAGATTCGTATGCGGGAATCAAGCATACCGAGGACGCTCGGCGGTACACGAGGATACTCGTGTGCTGGAACAGGTATAAAGAAAAACCGAGTATGCTCGGTTGAGGACTACGAGGACACTCGTAGAGGGATGTTCGCTGTCGATCAGCGAACGGAGTCTGGTGAGAAGACGTTCAGCCGGACCTCTTTTATACCCGGCTGGCGGCCGAATGATTTCGAATCGGCAAGCATCGGCGGTTTCGGCGGCGAGTCCCCCACAAAACGGAATTTCGGAACGGTCGGGTGTGGGGGATTTTCGGCGGTTGACCGCCGCTGTTTTTGATAGGAAATTTATCGGCGCGCGATGCGCCCTTGGTGGGCTACGGACGATGGACGGTCCGTAGCCGTAACGATGCAGCGGGCTGCATCGTTACAGTTTTATAATCTTTTTGCTGACACATTTAAAACACGTGACGTTAACCAAATCTAATCACGTAAGAAATATAGAAATATAATATTTGTATCACTTTTACTTACCAGAATCAACCTTGATGTTACGCTCATTTAATTTGCAAGCGTTTAACCATTGCTGCCGAACAGCAGGCTCTTTAGGAATTGTAAAATATTTAACACTCCGTTTTTCATAAATGCCGGTATGATTTTTGCAATGTAGTACACAGCAAGTTGGCATGATTTGCGTTAAAAAAAATTTTAATTTTTTTATCCAAATCCAAGCCGACCAATACACCATGTGCACCATGTGTGCAATAAGAGAATGTTGTTATGTTATTCTGGATCAAATTTTGATTGGTTCCTACAGATCCGCCATTACCGCCATGTTGTTGGACGATTGCGCATCCTCCGGAACGGTTCACCTTGTTTCTTACACCATGATTGCCTCTGCAACCAGAGGAGCCCGTGGCGAGAGAGGAAGCTGTGGCGGAAGAGGTGGCCGTGGGGGAAGAGGAAGCCGGGGGACCGGAAAGCCCCATGTACAAAATATTTTTATAAATTACTGATATATAATATTGTTACGCCCATGCTTTTCGCCGCTGATGCTGTGTGTTACAGCTTGATCAATAATATCGATCGGTCACTATAAAGTTGAAGTCATATGGCATTTGTAAATAACAAGAATCTTTCTTATATTTGTTATCAAGACAATATTGATTAGCGGTTTAAAGAGTCTCTATGACAGTTTATAAACAAACTGTCATATGTCAGATGTCAACTGTCAGATCTTCGGTAGCTGTCTGCTCGGGCAGACGTCTATGACAGCTCTGATATTTTTAATTTTATTTCCGGTTATTATTTGTTGAGTTCTGTGTTTGTTATTAAAGTGATCTCTTTCATAAAGTGTTGTGTTGTGTTTCTTATTTTCCGCGAGTTCCGTTGACGCGTGTGATATCTCGTTCTGCGGGCGTAACAATATGTATATTTATATAAATATAAATAGAAATAAAAAACTAATTTTAAAACATACTCATCAATATCTCGATTTGACGTCTCCTTTGAATGTTGTAAAACCGCTGCCAAATTCGACTAATAGTTGTGTATATGTACTCTCACACACGCGCGCGCGCCTGTTAGAGGCATGATATCATTTGCATTAGAACATTATGTCTGGCATTATGTACACTGCCGGCCAAAAGTTTGGATACACTTGCCTGTACACCGTTCATTTTTATTTAGCAAGATTCCACCGCTTTTTAATAAACTTTTTTGTTTTTTATTAGTTAGTTAAATCTTAATTTATATGAAAAAAATCAATTTGTCTGATTTTTATGAAAAGAATTATCGAAAATATCGCTAAAGTATAACTAGTGGTAGGCAAGTTCGGTGCTCGATAAGAGATATACATGCTTACTTCAATATCAGTTAATGTTTTGATGTTTTATTTACGTTTTACGTAAGTCACAATAAGCATTTAAAATTGGTTTTGTCAGTATTCTGTACGGTTGAAATGTGTCTACATCACTAGCAACTAAGAGTTCAAAGTTTTTTAAGTGTTTATGCACTGATCTAAAAAAATGGGAAAAAACAAAAAAATACCTATGGAAAAACGAGGTGCTATTATTGCCTTATATAATGAAGGCATGTCTTATCGAATCATCGCCAAAAAAATGAAAGTCTCATTAAAAGGTGTTCAATCAACTATTGCCAGATTCAAAGACACCGGCACCTTTCGTAGCCGTTCTCGCACAGGACGTTCAAAAGTAACCACCCGACAGGAAGATCAACATATAGTAGTTATTAGCAAGAGAAATAGACGCTTAACAGCACCAGAAATCCGCGCAGACATCAATAGAACTCGAAAAAATCCAGTATCGCTTACAACCGATAAGAGACGTTTAAGAATTGCCGGTCTAAAAGGATGTGTTGCAGTGAAAAAACCTTTGCTCCGTCCAATAAATAAGAAGAAACGACTTGAATGGGCTCTCCAACATCAAAACTGGACGATAGAGCAGTGGAAACAGGTACTTTGGACTGACGAATCCAAGTTTGAAATCTTTGGATCTCGTAGACGAATTTTTGTAAGAAGAAACACCTCTGAAAAA